GATGAGCCGTTCCTTGTCCTGCCCTGCCGTGACAGGCTGCTGCATTGTCATGCTGATGCTCCTTGGATGAGCCGTTCAAGGTGTTCCAGTGTGTAAGTCCAAATCTGGCAACCTTAAATTCCTCGTTCTGCTGCTGTGAGCTCCCTGCACAATTCTGGATGGCCTTTAATGAGGGTGTTGGGGTTTTTTATGTGCTAGTCATAGAATCATAGAATGGTTTGGGTTGGAAGGGACCTTAAAGATCATCTAGTTCCACCCCCCTGCTATGGGCAGGGACACCTTGCACTAGACCAGGTTGCTCAAAGCCACATCCAGCCTGGCCTTGGACACTTCCAGGGATGGGGCATCCACAGCTTCTCTGGGCAACCTGTTCCAGTGCCTCACCACCCTCTCTGTGAAGAATTTCTTCCTGATATCTAATCTAAACCTCTAATCAGCAGCTTTGGGCTCCTGCAGTTTCCCCGTCTGACCCCAGAGCAAGTGGGGTGACCTGGCGATAAGTAACCCACAAAAATCCAGCAGTTTCTGGCCTGCAAGGCAGCTCGCGGGGGAGGCAGACACAAGATGGGGTGTCCCAGCAACAGGCTGCACGTAGCTGGGTCAGCTTTATAAAGGCACCCCCTAATTTTGACTGACCTGACCGCTCTCGCCGTTCTGCTGTACCACCGTGCAGGCCCTTCTGTAGGTTACAGATAACTGTGTAAAAAGGATGCCATTCCTCTTCCTTCTCTGCGAGTATGAAACCTGTTTGGTTTTCCTTTTTGCCTCTCTTTTCCTTACCTGGAATCTTTCCTTTATACCTGACATCAGTAGTTCTTGCCTTAATGCATAATAAGACAGAGAATCCTAGAATCCACTGATCCCAGCTGAGCTTCAAATTATTAAAAGACTATCAAGAACCCTTAAGATCAATGTTTTATTGAAAAAGTTCCCCAAAATAATCCAAGAAAGGAGCATAATGTAATCTTTCTTTGAGGTTGAAAGGAGAAAGTACTAATTTCATGCAGAAAAGATTTTATCTTGGACTGGCACAGGAATAGAAAATAAATAGGTATTAAATTATATCTGG